CGTGCTTGTCCTAGCAGTAGCAGCGATGCTCGGGGGATTACTGTGCACCTGGGGACAGCGTGCACACAGTTGTCAAAAAATGGACATAATGTTCATCTTGGATCACAGAGGTGATTGTGAACCAGGAGCTGTTTACCACTTGAACAGCCAGAGTACAAGAAGCTATGAAACCCCCGAAGCTGAAGGCTTTCGAATGTTAAGCTCAAAAACCTCCAGTAGTTTCACGGTCAGATAACTTACAAACCATGCGAGATGTTTATATGAACTAAAAGCTCTTCAGAAAGTGTGGAGAAAAAGCACACATCCAAACCCACGCTTTTCTCAAGTGGGATTTTCTCCTAACTTCTTTTTTGGATGAAATCTCCCTTTTTGCGGGGAAATCATGCTTGAGGAGTCATGAGGAATTAAAATTTTTTTTCTCACTGGTTTCCTACTTCCATTCCTTTTTAAAATAGTCGATGTCTGGAGTGTCATATTTAAATCCCCCCTTCAGCTGACTGCGTCTGGGATGCAGTGAGTTCAGCCAGACCATTTGAAAAATGGATGGCTCTAGTATTGACGGTCTGTAGCATAGCTATGTAATCCCATTAAAAACGACTGTTTATTCAGTTCTGGAACATTATCCCCATCACTGTCACTATGGACACAGCATCTTTCAACTCACTGATGAGGTCGGACCATGACTGAATACTTTCTCTATGTGTGAATGGGCTTATTATCCAGCAATTGGGCAACTCTGAGGGATTCTTAGGATTTTCAAGGGCACTTTGGTGTTTCAGAAAGAAAAGGCTTCCTGTGAGATTTGTATCCTTAAATTACCGAGGCATTTCCGAGAGCACCTTTCAAGCTCCCCCCACCAGAGAGGTCAGTGCAGATGCCTTTGTAGCTGCATGTCCCTGTGCCCGTATCCTCTGCCAGACCCTGGACCATGGAGACTGTGCTCTTCTTCAGGCTGCATTTTTGTCTGTATCTGTTAGGTTCTGCGCTTGCAGAGAAAGTAATAGGGGGAAAAAAAATCATCCAAGTCTACACAAATTTATCACAGAAGATGTGTGTGGTGGCTACAGGCCAAAATTATTTGCTAAAAACTTGAAGAGCCTCTGAGCTAGATAAACAGAAGGGTATTTCCTGAAGACAGGAAGGAAACGACTTGACTTTGTCGTACCTTCACCTTCCCACAAGCTTTGACAGTCTAATTGGCTTTCTTATCCAGATGGAAGCGCTGTAAATCCTGATTACCCATTGTTCCCATTTTGTGCATTCAGCATTTACCGGCTCCTCTCTGCCATTCAGCTCTTCCTCCTCTGGAGGAGCCAGCAGGATACAGATTATGGCATGATTATATTCTCCTCTAACCTGCATTTTAGGCAGCTATCAGTGTCAATCCAACTATTTATGCCATTGTAATCCTATATGAAATGAGGCACTTGGATGTTATGTCTGAGAGGACATAACATAGCTGGAATACATGAGTGTCTGCGTGTAAGAGAGCCGAGCCTACTTCTCACTTATCTTTATATCTCACCCCCTCTCTATGTGCCTGAAAAATGTAAACTAGACAAACCTGTCTTAGTTTGCAGATTTCACATTTTATTCTTCCTGCAGGCTTGTCATAGACTAATCATGTCATATTTACAAGCTAATAACACATCTCAAATGCTCAACCATGTGGCTGCACTGTAAGTAAGAACTTGATGGTTGTGTTTGGGCAGAGCAAGGTTGCTCCAGCCCAGCACCTTGGCCCTGGCCCTCACCAACAGCAGATACTTAGGGGTGAGATATAAGAAGATAACAAGCACACTCCAGTTGGCACCCCCAGCTCTGACAGCATGTGTGTCAGGGACATCTTTGGGTTTGACAGCCCTGGAGAGGCTCCTCCAGTTCCCCTCCCCACATTGCCTTATCTTTTTTGAATCTACTGATATTTTTTATATTGACACCCGCCTGTGACAGTGAGCTCCACAACTACGTTACGCAGTGAACAAAAAAATACTTTCCTTTGCTCTAAAGTTTCATTTGATGTCTCCTGATTTGGGGGTTATGAAAAATAATTCAGCAATTGTCCCCTCTTCAGTGTGACATTCAACCTTGTTTCATCGTACCCCTTTTCTCTGCCGTCTCCTTTCAAAAGTGACAAGTCCTAGTCTATTTTCTCTCCTTGGATAAAAGCTGTTCCATACGTTTGATCATAATTTTTGCCCTTCTCTGTACCTTTTCTAGAGATAATGCTTCTTTTCTGAGATGGGGATGGGGAGGGGAAAACAAGAACTGCATGCAGAATTCAAGATGTGAGTGCACTATGGATTTATAAAGTTGTAATGAGGGGTTTTGTTCTATCCTCTATTTCTGTCTCAGTAATTCCTATGATCCTTTTTGCTTCTTTGACTACTGCTGAGCACTAAGGCTTCAGAGCATGCTAAAATGTAGAACCTATTATTTTTTACTACTTTCATGTCTTTTAATAAACTCTCCTAATCTGGGGGAAAAGACACAGTCCCTACCTATCCACACCTGGAGCGATGCCCAAGGTGCCTGTCTAGTAGGAGTGGGAGCAACAGCTGTGTGGGGTAGGTAAGAATCATTAAATGAATTTCACAGATGGAGAAACTGAGACACAGAGATCCGTCCAATTCACTTAGAAACTGTCACAAAGCCAGGAACAGACTGAGAACGAGACCAGTCTTTCCTTCCATCGGTTGCTGCAAGCGAAACAGCTGCCCTGGGGACTGTCCTCACCCGGGGCTCCATGGCCACACAATCTCTTACATCTTTACACTTGCAGTTTTCACCATGCCATGGAAAACCAAGAATTCCTACTCCAGCAAGTTGCTGGGCAAGTACAGCATCCCATCTCATCCTATCCTATCCCATCCTATCCATAACTATTCTTTTAAGCTGTAAGATGAGTAAAGTTGCCAGCAAAGTAAGCCATGAAGTAGTTTTGAACTGCCCTATTTATCCTCGTATTATTTCAGACTGGATCACGTGCAGTAAATCACAGAATCATAGAAGAGTTTGGGTTGGAGGGGACCTTTAAAAGTCATCTAGTCCAACCCCCCTGGCCAGGAGCAGGGACATCTTCAACTAGATCTTTCCACCCAAATTCTCAAGGGACACATTGCTACAATAACGTTTTGGTGGTAGAGGTATATGGTGACCCGTGGGCCTGATTCTGGAAGATGCTTGGTTCTCTCAGGACCTCAGTGCAGCTACTTGGGATTTCACAGCACTTGGCCTTTTGATCCTAACCAGTTTTAATGAGAAGGCCTGGATGGTTCAAGGAGCTGACAGTGCATTATGAAACCTTTCAAACAGACATCACTGGCTCAGATTGAGCACAGGTAATGACTGAGAGTTATTACTAATGGCTACAAGGATGTGAAATGAGTTTTGTGGAGTAAGTCAACAAGCACCCTGATCACAAACTGTTATCACTCATGGACACCTTCTTCACCAACCTCAGCAGTGAATGCAGCAGCTAAATGGGCACAGATGCCGAGATATTCCCTGTTTGTTCTCCTGCTAAAGCAAAACATGCATTGGCAGGGAAACTTATGAAAACTTGTACTGAAAAAGATGCTGCTACACTTTTCCTATGAGGCAGGAGCCTAATACTGTCAGCTGGCACTCTGGGGATTTATCTGAGATAGTGCCAGATGAGAGAAGAATGTCATTGCCAGCATATGTTGTCCTGACGTACCTGACTACCTAAAAATGGGAAACGACTCTGTGAGCTCGACAAGTGTAAAAAGAACACATTAGAGAAGAAAGAAAATGCTTTTAATGTGGAGAAGGGTATTTTCTCTTGAGAGTTCTTAATTTCTTAGGTAGCTCTGGAAGAAGACATTGTTGCAGACCCTGTCCCACACGGTGCAAATTTTCCCTGTGGACCTTGCAGCAACGCCATCCCTTTAACTAAAATACCAAGAGCATTGCATTATATTTTCACAGACTGCAAGAACGACTGCTGAACACAGACTGCCATGGTCCATGCAAGGGGTTAATTAAAGTAAACTTGTGGAAGATGCCAGATACATACCAAAGCACCCATAAAACCCCTCCCTGTGTGGGAATGAGCCACAGGAATCCCATCCACTACAGCAAAGGGGTCCATCCGACAGGGAGAGGGGTCCTGGTAACAAACTCTTTGCTCTCTCTGCTTCTGTCTGTCCCGGAGCTCCGTTATAAAAGCCTTGATAATACCACTATTGCACAAAATGCAAAATCAGGGGAAAAAGACTCCAGCTACTCATGCTGTTTGTAGATAAATTAAACAAACCCAGAAAAGGTTGAGACAGCTGGAAGTATGACAGGAAAACTGGGTTTTCCAGGGAGAACACTAGGGCCAATTTACAGTTAATTACTGTGATTTGGAACAGCTCTGTGAGTAAATACCAGTCTCTGATTGTCCAAGTAAGGAAGATAATTGTTTCCTGAACTGTGTCCATTGTGTATTTAAAACGTTGTCAGCCTGTTCCTTTCTCAAACTCAGAAGACGGTTTGGTTTTTGGCAATGTGAATCTGCTACTCTTAACAAGCAGCTAAAACCCTAATGCTGAGCATCATACCTGCCATGAACGGAATTTACTGAGCTCCACAGCCATATTTATAAAGCAATCTCTCCTAATGATCAGGCTGCTGGACGGTGCATGAGTTCGCAGCTGCAAACCAGTCCTGCCGTCACTGGTGAAAGAGCTTTGAGGACAAGGAGGACTGGAGGGCCACCAGGCACTGCCAGCCCAAAAACGTGCCAAGCACCGCGGTGCTGCAAAAGGCTATCGAGAAGGATGGGCAGCAAGAGAGAAGGGACATCATGGAAAACTGCATTATCTATTTCTTTTCTTCTCTTCAGGGCAACTAGAGGGAAAATGTTTTTACAGAGATCGTACCGACATTTGAGAAATGGATAGCGATACATTCATTAAAAGGAAAACCAAAACCCCAACGAGTACTGGGATGGTTCCTTAGGGAGCTCGAGCATTGCTGAAATATTGGCTCACCTGAGTCCAGAGCAGGTGCTGAGACTGACTGAGGAGTCGGGGTACCCTCCAACATTGCCATGGTAATAGCAGTGACCCTGGTTGCGAAAAAGAGAAAACATTTCAGTAATCACAAAAGCTCTTCGCTCCCTTGTCGTCTCATGGTTTTCAAAGCTGTTTTCCATTTCATTCAGAAGCACATCGACAGCACCTTTCCTGCCCCACTAAATATTCACTGCACTCAACAGTCCAGAGCATTCCTAACTGGAAACCTTGGGTGTTTTTAAACCCCAGAGGTTGGGGCAGTGGGGATTTTGTTGTTGTTTTGTTTGGTTTTAAAGAGGGCCAATGATATTTAAATTGCATGACTGACAACCTCTTCCTGTATTACTGTATTTAAAGGTGCAATATGGAATATTTTATACAATTAGTCAGATGAACAAATCAGCTGACACATTTTACTACTTTCTATAGACAGGCATATTTTCATTTAAGGTCATTTACATCTATGTATGCCTATAGGAGGTAGCTATCTATAAAGGGAAGTATAAAAAAAGCCAATCCCAACCCCCTAGCTTGAAAAAAATCACAGAGCAAATGGAGGGGAAGGGAAACAGGTTGGAAAGGAAACCTTTTATTGAATTACCCAACTGAGTGGCTGCACGTTATTAAGAACAACCAAGAATAAGAGGGTCTTCTATTTTGAGAGGCAACAATCCAATTTCATTTTGCAGCTAGGTTATTGTATTTCCTTAATAATTCACTGCTTGCAAAAGGCACCCGCAACAGAGATACTTTCTCAGCACACACACGTATCTGTCTGGAATCAAGGTTAATTTTATTGTTGACTAAAGGTTATTTTACACTCCCAATTATGTGACTGGCTGGAAAGCAACGATTGTGTCACGTCCAGCATTTCTTTTCTCGTGGCTCCTTTGAATGCCACCTGGAAACCGAAAACACTGTTGTAAAAGGTTCCTATCTTATTAGTGCAAAGGAAAGTTATCACTCATGCTTCAACCTGTCATCTCACTGTGCCTTTTTATTACTCGGTTCATTCACATCCATCTAGCTGCATTAATTAACCTTTTCAGTTTTGGGGCATGGTTTTCATTTACAAAGCTTCACATAGCAGACTTCTAAAGACCACCTTGATTTTGTTAAAGAAAGCAATACCCATGAAAATGCTGGGCAAGATGGAATAATTCGGATACGAATTTTCTGTAAATAAGGTTATACCATGAAAAATATTTGTTTCGAGCATTTGTATTTCCAACATGAGCAACCTAACACGGAACAGCAGCATCTGCCTTTTAAAATACAAATCTCAGTAGCTTTTCTCAAGTGAAAGAAATGACAAAAACAGGGTAATAGTGTTTTACTCTTGAGTATTTTTATCATCAGTACTCATAAAGAGTCAGTAACACATTAGCAAGGATAAAGACACAATAAAAGGGAGGAAGTCATAGACTGAATTTTTTGGCCGTAATTGTTTCAGTCACAATTGCTATGGACATCAAAGTTTTCAGCATGACCGTACAGTTTCACCTTATTTTAGTATTATCAGTTACCTGCATCCAGCTGATAAGACAGAAGAAAAAACAACACCCCCCACCTCAGCACGGACTCTCATACAGTCACCCTGAAACATTCTAAAACCAAAAATAAAGTAGTTTTATTCTTGTCACTTAAAGTTAAGGCAGAGGGCCAGTTCAGAGCTCTTAAGAAGTCCATCCTCGGGGTTGAGCATCACCAGTGTTAAGCACAGTCCTCAGTGAAAATGGGAGGGCACGCGGGTATCTCGTCCCGCACAGGCTGCTGCTGCAATCTGGCTGTCTTCATCGATGAGTGAATTATTGCAAAGGCCCTGATTTCTTTCCCTCTCTGCACACAACTTGTCATTTTATTAACTCTGAGCTTCTTGTTGTGGCCCATTTCACAGCTTCTCTGAGAGCCACATGCTATACGATACCAAAGTTCAATATCGAAAATGTAAACTTACCAGACCATGGCCTGCAATTGGACTGGTAGAAAATTGATTTCTAGCTCAGTGACTCCACTGAACTGCAGGATTTTTTTTTTCCTCCTATCAAATCTTTCTATTCCTGTAAACTAGTATATAAAATGGATGACCCCCTAAAAACAAATAATTACCATGGCTGATTTGTCATACTTAAAGCAGTACTCTACCCTTACTTGAGATCATTTAATAAATACCAGCTTTTGACAACTGCAAATATTTTTCAGGTGCTACAAACCAGAAAAAATAACCTGGACACTGATGCGTGTGCTAGAGAAACTCCCCACACGACACCTCCACAAACCCGATTTGGTCTGACCTCCAAGCAGAATTTGACTAAGCGACTTTGCAATAAGGAAATTGGATTTGGTTTCAACTACAGACTGTATTGATGTCCTCAGTGAAGGAGAGATATAAAAATAAAATCACAAAGACCATATTGCAGCATTTAATGAAAAATGAATTCATTGATCGCTCAAAAAAATATTTTAGGCAGCAAAATGCATTGTCAGTATTAATCGTGACCTACTGCCGTTATGAAAAGGGATTTTTTTTTTCTTTAGTAAGGGAAAGCCTAGCTGCCATTAGCTGTACACATATTTATGTTAATGTAGGTTAATCTGTCAAAGAGTTGTCTGCTTTATTCATTTCCTTTTACTTCCTCGAGGAGTACATACAGCCTTCCTGATTCTAAAACAAATGACTATTTTCTGCTTACCTGATTTTGAAGAAGATACGAGCACCTAGCAAAAAAGAAACCACTGAAAGCTTTCAAAAGGACTGCTTTACTTGGGAGGTCTGGGGCTACAGTGAAGATGCTTTTTTGGAATAATGCCTTGCACTGATACCAGCAAAGCCCATTACGGATGGGAACACAAAGTACGATGCCTCTTCTGACAGCATCATTAAACAAGTAACATAACATAACAAATACTTTATAGGACTTGGGCAGTTAAAAGATAAACTTTGTAATTAAAATCGCTTGCTGCATTGTTTCTAATTAAGGCATTCATACTGTCAGAGGACAAAACCATCACTGCCTGAAAGTGGTTTTTATTTGTAAAAAGCAGTTTTTAACTACAGATTCTAACAAGGATCATATTAGTCATATTGATATGTATATGTACACATAAATATACACATACATACGTATATATATGTATAAAGTATATCCATAACAGTTGTATGGTCTGGTAAAATAAATCCAAACAAGCAGCGCCCTCTCCCAAACCCCAGCCATGGCTACACCTAAGCCTTCAAAACCCCTGATGTGAGCTTCTGTACTATGGAAATCAGATATTTAGGGCTTTCTTCCTGACTGAACCAGGACTTTTCACCATAACTGATCAACAATGGCTGCATTTATTATAAAATTTTAATTGGTATATTTATAAGAAGCTGAATAAATCTTACAGATTTTAAAAGTCACCTGGTTAAAACCTCACAGCTTGCCTTTAAATTCCCTCTCTAAAAATTCATGTGTAGGATCACAGCAGTCAAAAAGGTACTGAAGGCAACAATAAAAAAAAGATCACACATCGAGCTGTTTCATCCCACGGCTCAGATCCTGGCAGAGAGCACTTTGGGTTTTAACGATGAAGCATCATCTCCCCGCCAAACACCAACCTTACCGTGTAATTGCGTGCGAGAACCACATCAGTGCCGTCTTTCAAATAATGTGTTTCTGTGAAACTGCTGGCTAACAGGCCCCTGAAAAAAATAGAGCAGATGTAATATTAAGGCCACATCACCTTAACTTTTGTCCTTTAGTGGTTCCGTTTGAGATAGGGATCAAAGCCAAGCATTAATGATACAGTGACTACTGGGGCTGTGTGCGAAATAAGGAAAAATATAACTCCAAATACTGAAGCCGTGGTACTGAACACTTCCTTCGTTAGCTGTGAGAAGGCTACAAGTTTCCAGACTTCCAGCTGAGGACTGCATGCCAGCACATCTCATATTGAATCTCCCATGTAATTTTCAACACATTTTATGTTAAATCTGAAATCTAGACATTTGGAGTACTGGTAAGTAATGGTGGTTTGTGGAAAAGGAAAACGTTTTCCCTGTGTTACTTGAGTTGTATTCATCAACGAGTGACTGCCCAAAGACCAGTTTGGCTCTCAGTAAATGAAACAAACTTCTTCCATTGACACTCAAGGAAAACCACTACAGGAACATTACAGAAGTTAGAGTACTGGATTGATTCTGATCATCTGAAAAGGATATTCTACATGGCAATCTAACAACTTGAAATGATGTTTCAGGAGACAGCAAAAGACTGTGACTGTGATGAGACAATTTGTTTTCATTCTCTCCACACTTCCTCTCCTGCCTTTGGCAATGATTTGCAAAATTGTGACTTGCAATTACCATTTTCCGGAAATCTCCAGAGAGGGGCATATGCGTGACAACTATGAAAATTTTTCTTTTTGTAGTAATCTCATGGAATAGTGAAAGAAGCATCTGCCTTTTTTTTTTTTTTTAAGTAAAAAAAAAAAAAGTCTTGCTATTGATCTGGTTTTCAACTTATCTAAAGAGCATTTCTAACAAGGCCAGAAGGAAAAATACATATTCACATTTACCCCTAACATAGGTGTTAAGCTATGTTCCTCAAAATAAACACGCTTGAGTTTGAGAAACGTTCTAGTGAAATGCAAAAGCACAGTATAGAAGAAACCAAAGGTTAATGCCACCAACACCTTCAGAAAACTGGAGAGTTCAGGCTATCAAAAATCTTTGGCATAGGGTTTCACAGTGAAGCTTTTCTCCCTTGGGTTGTTCATCTGATCAAACCAGGCCCTTTCCTTTACTTAAAGCTGGTTAATGCTACACTCTTGCATAGATACTAGTGTGAACTAGTACAGACTTTTGGTACACTTTCCTTGCACTTTGTATAAACTAGAACATGAAAAAACATTTAATTTTCATTACTGGTTTATTTGCATCACATTAATATCCAATGACCCAGTCATGATCAGGAGCTGGTTGTGCTAGGAAGTGTACAAACACCTATTAGGGAAAAAACCCTCATCTTTAAAAGCCTCTGTCTTAAGATAGAAGGAAAAAGATGCTGAATGGAACAAAACGAAACAAAAAGACAAGAAAAAAGAAGGAAATGGCAACGTAAAAAGATGAAGATAGCAAAGCCCCAACACAAGGAGTATTCAGGCACAGATTCTCCCTTTCCGTTTCTCAGTTTGTTGGAAATACTAGCGCATCAATAGATACCAAATGTCAAAACACCGCAGCGTCTGGTGGGTTGTACCAGCTCTGGATCTCAGCCAACCACCACACCTAGAGCAGGATTTGGTTGCCCAACCAAGCACCTGCCATTGATTTAGGTACTCCATATTTTTCATCAACCAGGTCTGCAGGGACACCTCAGACACCCTGTGGTGTCTCAGATGGCGCTTGACACCTATGTTTATCTCACCTCTTGTGCCTGCAGCCCCTAGAAGGCCTGCCTGAAAGTGCGCCGTACCCACGTTTCCTACTGTCTCATTATCACAAGGAGCAGCTGCTTTCTTAATTATTATTATTATTGATATAACGCTACTACTAATTCCTGCACTTAGCAAGCATTCATTACCTTTGTAAAGGCAAAAGGTAAGATCTCATTGCTGCTGAAGCCAACAGAGATCCGCTGCATACTTTTTGGAAATGAGATTTCATATACGATACTGGAGCAATTTTTATTTAATGGGACAAAATACAGGCAAGGGATAGGGCAACAGATTTAGCATAAGGGCAAAGTGAGCGAGCAATACACTCGATTTGTGCTCTGCTATTTCCAAAGTGTTTGACAGCATGATGATAAAGGTGACCTTTCTGCTTCTGTTCATTCTACCCTCAGGCACAGATTTAGAAAATATTTCATAGATTCATAGATTTTAATACCAGAAGGGAGCGCTGTGATCAGCAATCTGACCTGTCGCATTACATAGGTTATTTGACTTGAATTAATCTTCTAGTCCTACGACTGTGATGGAACCAGATCCTTTTTCTTATTGTATAGAGCCCTTGCCTAGATCTCCCATGATCAAGAAGCTATCACAAGCCTGGTAAGTTTTTAACAGTTAATTAAGCTCAATGTAAAAACACTGGGCTTTGTACCTCACTTGACTGTGCCAACGTTCAGTTTCCAGCCACTGGATCTCATTCCCTTACATCAATGCTTCATTTTCATTTGAGTCTACTCAAAGTAGAGTAAGTTCTACTTACTAAAGTGAGGGAATATAGCAGGTAAACAAATTCCTGGTGTAGCTGTCATCAATCTCCCCGTCAGGCATGTTTCATCAGGGTGTAAGTTTGCTATGTACCTTGATGAAAATAATGGCTGAAAATAAGAATTCCCAATGTGAGTAGTAAAAGACTTGGCAAGAGCACCGAGATGATGGAGTCCCACCACTGGACTAAATATAATAAAAAATATGGCCCAATGTAGAAGCTGAAGTAGGATTTCAAATCATGGAAATTTCATGTACCACTGAAGGACCTTTTTAAGAAAATGAGGACGTTTTCAAGGGGTCTGCATTAACACTCCTTCAGTTTAATAACTAAGACATCATTGCTGAGGCATCTGTTTTCCTGCCACGCACGGCACTAATGCTAGTTTGAGAGCAGGCCAGAAGAAAGGTTTTCTCCACACTGTAGAGGCTGGGGACCTCTACAAGACACCTCACCAGGGAGTCCAACAATTTCTGGCAGAGGAAGAAGCTGTTATCCCCACTTTCAAAATGTCTAATATCTTAAAAGCTGCATAGCCGAACAAGCACGCAGCATTAGTACCCAGGGAGAGCAAGTCATGTAAAGGCAATTCCTGAAAGGCTATGAAAACCAAGTGTAACAAGCACTCAAATTCCACAACTGAGCGTGCACCACTTCACTCTCCGATTACGGCAATACTGTTTAACATACTAAACAATGAATTCAACATATGTATCTATTAGGTAATTAAATTACCTCCCTCCAAAAGATATGCAATGCAATAGATTGGTTTACATTTCTGGTTTTGACCCACAGTAAAGGAGATTAATAGAGGAAAGTAAATTAATTTAGATGGCAAGCTACTTAACCTAATTGGATCAATGTAATTCTGAAAGAGCAGGGATCAAAATAACATGAATATATCATAGTGCAATTCATCACCATGTCTGCAGTTTCAAGTGTTGTCAGCTACAATGCCCAGCAGTACCAGATGATTATCAATTTTTTGCACTGCATGAAGAGGCAGAAACAAATGCTATCGAGAACTGCATCCACTGCTGGATACGATTAAAAAACATCAGTTGAAGCAACACCACAACTTTCTCATTCATTTTCCAAAGATGCAAAAGTGCAATTCTTGAGTTAAATTACTTATTTAGTTAGTCACTCTGTTTATCAGCACAGTGGATTTTTTCACATTTCCCAGAGCCAAATTAACAAGTGGAAGCTTCGATGGCCCAGAAGGCCAAGCTTTATCCCTCCTGTTTTTTTTTCTCACCTGTCAGATTTGCTGAAACATTTTCAGGTGTCAAGCAGCTTCCACTAACCTAAGCTTCAGGCAGTATGATGAATGTTATTTAAACTTCTAACCCGCACCTTCCCAGCCCTCCCCAACATGAAGTCTTCGGCGGTTTGTTGAGGAGGGGGGAAATGTCCTCTTTTAAACACATCAAATTTTTTACTTAATCCAGTTAATGACAGGAATGGTAATTTAACACACTGCCTCTCACTTGCAAATGAGAAAATCACTCTCTGCTCTCCAGGCACCGATATATTATTTCAAAAGATTATAATGATATTTCATCACCCAGGGAGAGTCAGAAAGACAGAGTCACAGAAGTTAGAGATGGGAAAAATCTAGTGGATCATACAGACAGCTTCCCTGGAAGCCAAGCATGCTGAAGATCAAATTAGATTCTGTCTCATCGAGCTTGGAATGTCAGAAGCAATGCTGATCCCACCACTTTCAAAGGGAGATTACTTTGCATGCCAACAGATGTTACTGTCATGATGCATTTCCTGATATTCAGCCTTTGCTAGTTTTTCCTAGTTACATTTCTTTCACTAGCTGAAACAATTGCGTCTCCTTCTTGGTACATATATCATTCAGATAGGCGCAGATTTTTATCAAATTCTCCCTTAACCATCTACATGCCAAGTATAGAACATCAGGCTATAAAAAATGACAAGAACTGTGTACTTTTCATGTTAGCGCTACTCAGGAAAAATCCAAGCATCGTTACAGTAGGTGCAGACACCAGGACTTCCCTTGGTGATATAGGAGAAACCAGTAGACAAAAGCCAAAGGAGCAAATCTCTTTCTAACAGCACACGGGCTTGCTTTTCCATCTTTTAGGATGAAACTTCTTTGGTTGCCTTCCCTGGTCCAGGCCGTCCCCCTGCAATGCAGACATAAGGGGGAAGACCTGTTGAGCATCAAAATGGATCCACGAGTCTCTCAAAGCTGCTCTGGGAGACTGAAGTGACACCCAGCAACTGAGATTCACAGAAGCACATGATGTTCTGGATTTGGTCTCTTTCAGAAGAACATGGGAAAAAATAGTTTGTCGCCTTTGGTAAAATACGACAGAGTCCAGGACCAATATTGCTTTCCCATACGTACAATTTCTGCTGGGTCAGCGCTTAGATTTAAAATCAGGTCTTTGAAAAAATACTCATCAATCTAGGCATTTACAGGCAACAAATGTAAATACCTAATT